TAGAGGGTGTGAAGAGTAGCAGCTGGATGCAAAGTAGAGAGAGTGAAAGGAAGATGAATGCCAGACATATGAGATCCAAAGTAGAGAACAGGGAACAATAACTCAAATGAATCCACCAAATTCTTTATAATGTACAATTGCACACTCTCACCCAAAATATATACAAGGCTTTGCATAAAACATGACTTCCTTTGGCCCAATTAGGAACCAACTGCTGGCGTCTTAAGATGATAAAGCCTCTGGATATGACAGTGAACTATTCTGGCATCAGTATAGCTAGTGACTAAACTTCACTCTGGCTTACTACAGAAATATACACCCCCCTAAAAGATAGCAATAAACAGGTCTTAAGTTTGCCAAAAATGACAATATTATGATGCAGATGAGTTAAAAGTCAAAATGCATGCTTTGTCAGGTCTGTCCTCAAGAGGAGAAGAAGACTATAAAACATTTTAACTAAATGGAGGTTGGAACGATCTTTTTTGATGCATTTCAGGACGTTGGCAAATCTAAATGCCAATTAGCTTTTGCTTTTGCAGAATTCCTGCTGGATTCCATTTTTTTATGAGGAATCTGTAGAGATTACCTTTGACCTACATGGGCTCCCATAGTCCATTTAGGCCCATCAGTCCTGCCCTGCATCCGTTCCCAAAAGTAGTGTCTAAAACTAGAGGTCAGGAGACTTAAATGCCTATCTTGCGACACATTGGCACAGCTGTATTTGGACCATTTAGGGCAAGCCAGTACACTCTCTCTCCGTGCCACAAAATCACAACGAGTCAATACAGGCTCTCTGAGTTGATGCTGCTGTTCTAACTGCACATAAAGATCATATAACTGTACCCCCCCCTCCATGTATCTTATGAAGTACGGTAGCACAAGTCTTTAACGTTAAGCCTTTAAATTCTAGTTTGACAGTGTGTGTTCACGTGTGTGTGTTTGGGAAACTGCAGGGTTGACACGGTGCCAGAAGGCATCTTGGTCAGTGACAGCTCTGTGTGCTGTTACTTTGGACCCGTTTGAACACAATCACATCGAGCCACACACAAACTAAACTCACACGTTCCTGATCGACAGATACAAGACTGTAACTAGATCATTATGTGCGCTTGTTGCTTTCCACTGGAGCTGCAGACCATGTGCATCATCAGTATACACACACACACACACACACACACACACACACACACACACACAGACACACACACACATTCAAGTCTGCTCACATATACACACAGGCTCGCACAGCCAGTAAAGCGTGAAAAACAAATAATGCCATTACCTCCTCCATTGTCCCTCAGCAGGAGGCCCACACATACGGGGAGGGGGGGTTAGTTGTTGAGTTCTGTATCACCTCTGATGATTGTGTGCAGTAGTGGTTTGACATTGAGACAAAGTGAATATTTTATTTTATTTTACCAAGGAGCCAATTATGCAACCTTCTATCCATCTATCATTTAAAGTTAGCTAGCTTATCTGCTCCACCCAGCACCTAGCAACTAACCTGCAGCCAATTAGTGCCAAGCCATCCCTGTTTCCTTGGCAACACACCACACGCCTCCCAATGTATAGCCATTTAGGAACCCACGCTCCTAAAGGCAAAAACCGCGTCTGCCGTCTAGCACAGACGCTCCACAAGACGGGCGTCATGTGCAGCTTTTTAAACATCAAAAAAATCATTACGACATCGATTCTGAGACATTAGTATACCGATGACAGAACAAGCTGAGAAGATTGGCTGCAATTTCCAATCAGTGCAACAGGGTTATCTTTTGGGAGAAAAAAAGAATTTGTCGGGCTGCTGCTGCTCGCTTCAAAACTGAGAGCTGCTCGTCCTCCAGCGAGAAGCAGAGCTGCAGCTTTCAGAGTTTTCTCGCAATGGCAGATGGTGGAAGGAGAGAAAGGCCGGCGATAGAATCCCTTTCCAAGATGTTTATCCTTTTCAGTAAAACGACAGAGAAAACAAATGCATATGGAGGCGGGGGGAGGAGGGGTGAATTGCCATGTCTTCTTTGTGACAGGAAAGCGATGGGGTTTAGTGGAGAATATGGACGCTATTTATAAAACTGTGTGTCTATGTACACTGTTAAGGCATGAGGCACATTGTTTATGTTGAGGTTTTAACGGTGAAAGACAGTCATAGATGCATCATCGTTTGTGAAGGCTTTAAATGCTGCAGAAGAGGTTTGTTGCATGTTAAGATGCAGCCAGAAATCTCAATGACAGATTGGATCGTGTGAGGGTTAAACCGCCTGCATCACTTCCTCCTTCACCCCCTTCTCTATCCTCCATTGCCCCTTCTTTTTTCAACCTGTCCTCCAGCCTCCTTTCCCCCTTTCTGCAAGCCCGTTTCTCCTCCTTCCCCTCTCTCAGTCCCTACCTGTCTCATTTGCATACAGGATGCCTTATTTGCATACATATGAGCTAAAGAGAAAAGGGATTTGTGTGCGGGAGGAAAAGAGGAGGAGAGGCGAGGTACACTGGCAGGCGGCTGGCTGATGAAAAGAAATGAAAAAGAGTCCCTTTAAAGAGGAAAACTGCGACCGCAACCTTTCTGCCTCTCCCTCTTTCTCTCTTCCACCCTCCCTCTTTTCAAATCTGTCCTCACCCTGTAGGTCACACCTTGGGGAGCTCCCGCCAAGTCCCCATTAATGCGACGTGATCTGACAGAGAGAGTAAAGGGAGGTAAAGCATAAACAGATACCTGATAAAAGCTCTGACACAACACAGACCGAAAAAAAGAGAAAACAACAGAAAGGAAAAAACGAAGACAGAAATAAAACCGATAGATAAATAGAGCGTAGGACCTTGTGCACATGGCCTATCTTTTTTCCTGCAGCAGCATCACTCTGTGTTGTTGTGGTGTTGTTTTTCGCCGTGGTGGCGATGGATGTTTTGCCTCTGCAAAGCAGAACCGATTGGCTGTGAAGTAAAAGCCCCCCCCCCCCTTTCTCTTTCCCTCTAGGAAGGACGGCACACACAGGCCCCTCCCCCTCAAACCATGCACTCATACACACACGCACACATAAAATATGCACTAAGACACTGAGGATACACAAACACACCTCACGCATCCTCATGTTTGAATTTATCTTCACTGGGAGAAGAAGTGTACACACACACACAAACACACACACACAAACACACAAACACACACACAAACACACACACACACACACACACAAACACACACACACACACACACACACACACAAACACACACATACACACAAACACAAACACACACACACACACAAACACACACACAAACACACACAAACACACACACAAACACACACAAACACACACACACACACACACACACACACACAAACACACAAACACACACACATACACACAAACACACACACACACACGCACACACACACACACACACGCACACAACCGACAAAAACAAGGTTTGATATGATCCATATAAACTCTGAACTATTTGGTTCAAATTGGCAAAAATGCAACACACACACACACACACACACACACACACACTTGACAGATTCTATAATATTAACAGCCTCCACCCCCCCTCCTCGTCTCCACATCAGGCCAACCCAGATGCATCCCGTACAATCTGTCCCTGATTGCACACAAATACACCCTCCCTAAACACACTCACACAGCAAACGCGTAAACACACACACACACACACACACACACACACACACACACACACACACACACACACACACACACACACACATATTTATCCTGCTCGCTCTTGCTAATTGCATGAGTCTAATAACCTGGTGCAGATAGAAAACAGAGCAGTGCTCTCTCGTCTCTCGTCTCTGTGGACACGGTCCAGACGTGAGGCAACTGCAGAGGATGGGGATCTGAAAAGGCAGCGAGCGATTGGAGTAGGGCAGACATTGATGTGTGTGCGTCTGTTTGTGTGTGTATTAATGTGTGTGTGTTGCTCCTCTTGTCTTTGTTTGATCTTTTCGCCCAGGCCTGAAACGCGGCAGCGCACCAGGAATAATAACTTTCGTACCCGCATGTGCAACCACCCACACACAATGAATGAGGATGCATGTGCACACAAACACACTTTCACTTCGCTGACAACACTCTTTCCATGTTTATGATTGTGTCTGGGCGTGCACACACACACACACACACACACACACACACACACACACACACACACACACACATGCAATCACTCATGCATGAGCCATCTCCTGTGTATCATCAGGACCGACTGGAGAGGACATAGCAGAGGGAGGGAGGGGAGGAGGGTGAAAACAGGGAGAAAGTGATGAAAGGTGGCAGGGGGGAGGGGGGGGTCAGGAGGAGGAGTGGAGATGAAAGCATGAGGGGAGGAGGAGGAGGAGGTGGAGAGAGCGTGGCGTGAGGCTAAAAGGGCAAAGGGAGAGATATGAGAGGGAAGAGGGGAAAAACAGGGGGAAGGGGGAATTGGGCTGAGGTAAAAACGGACAGACAGATGTGCTGACTGCTGATTGGATGAAAAAAAAAAGAGGGGAAAGTGAGACACAGGGCGAGAGAGGGAGAGAGGGAGAGAGCCTTTCACCTCCAGTCAGCGGCTATTAGCAGCAGCAGCAGCAGCTCTGAGACACCATCCCTCATTTTGCTCTGGCAGCGCTGGCACAATTAGACACACACACATGCACACACCTTCATGCACACGCTCATCCATCCGTCTTTCCGCTTCATACGTGTGTTTGTGCGGCTCTGAGACTAATTGAGAGTGTGCATGCGTCAGGCTGTGTCGCAGCTCTGTTTTTCTCTCTCTCTCTCTGCCTGTGTGTGTGTGTGTGTGTGTTATAGAGAGAGACTTAGAGAAAGGGTGAATGTCCTTGTGTTTGATCTGCTGTTCGTGTGTGTGTGTGTGTGTGTGTGTGTGTGTGTGTGTGTGTGTGTGTGTGTTTCTGCCACCGAGGGCCCTGTGCCCAGGCCTGAGAGTGTGTGATAGAGTCCATGCCAACTTGAGCTGCATGCCACTGTTTCCACCACGCTTGCACCCGTGTCCTGCCACTGCCAGCGCCACCCTCCTCCTCCTTCCTCGTCTCTCTCCTTGCTCTGCAGCCGTCTCTTAGCCTCTTCCCCCATCTTCCCCCCTCGTCCGCCTCTCTCATCCTTTTTTTTTTCTGGTTTTATCTCTCCCCTCACGCTCTCTTTCTCTCTATTTTGACTAAATTGCTCTGTCTTTAGCTCCGTCTCCCCAGCGTGATGTTTTTTTTTTTTTTTTCATCTTTTTCCCTCTCATTTAATGCCTGCGACCACTCCGCCCAGCTCTCTCATCCTCTCATCTTTGCAATAGTTTGAAGCTCTACCTGCCCTCCTCCTCTAATTCCTCACATCCCTGTTGTCTCCATTTCTCTTTTGGAAAAACCACATGCAATCATAATCGGTCTTTTTTTCTTCTTCTTCTTTTCTCCTTTACCCTTTTCTCTCTGTTGCTCACTTTCATATTTTCACCTTCTCTTCCTTCACGTCTTCTCGTTTCACAGGCGACCACTAGTGGCAGCTGTTTTCCCACTTGCCTTTCCATTCATAACCCCTCTCCATCCTTCTTCCTTCCTCTCATTTTTTGACCTCTTTCTATCTTTGAGGCATCTCTATTCCCTGCTTTCCGTCCCTCTCATCAGAGTTGCCATTATCCAACTCCCTTCCTCCTTCCCTTTCCTCTCCTCCCCTGTCTCCTCCATCACCTGCTTCTCAGCGGTGCTTCTCCTCATTTCCATACCGCCCAGCCGCCTGCAGGCCTGGCTGGCTCATACCTTCGCCTACTGTGGGACACACACACACGCACATGCACACACACACACAAACACACACACACAACACACACACACACACACACAAACACACACACACACACACACACACACATACACACACATCTTCAATCACAGACATGCACGCACATCCCTGCGTTCAGAAAACATGCAGGTCAAGGAAGATAAGCACATGAAGAATTTATGCGTTTTTTTTGTCTCTTACACGCTGATACAAAGACAAAAGGGTATAATGAGATTTTGCCTCCACTGTATTCTTCTCTCAATCTCAAATTTGCTTACAATCCTTATTTTTCATGCAATAAAACCCACTTTAGTTGCCAATTAGACACTGCTAAGTCCTTAAAACCATTTGCCGCTTTTTTATTTATCCACTCTCTCCAGTTTTGGCACTGCATGTTTTTGTATTTCAGCATCGTTTCATGCACACAGAGAGCTATTAATTGAGTGAATGAGGCCTATTCTCCCTGCACAGTGAGTGAGACCGAGCTGAGGGATCTGCTGCTAAAATGCAGAGGCTGATAAAAAAATTAGGGCTCGCTGGATAAATGGGCTTTGGGGCTGCTGACCGCTGCCTTTTTTTGTAGGCAAGTTAGCCGACAATGAGCTCATTAAAGTTGGCTGGCGGTGCAAACGGTCAGCCTTGTTAGCGTGTGTATGTGTGTGTGTCTTAATATGTTTGCATGTTTGATAATCTATCTGCAGTTGTGTGCTTGTTTGGGTTTTTTTGTTGTTGTGTGTGTGATGCTGCAGCGGTGCAATATGCCTACAGAGCAGAGCAACGTTACACAAGTCACACAGCGAGAGAACGAAGTGGAACCCTGCTTATTAGGCCACCACTGACTTTCTGTGTGATTCATAGAGAGAGACATGATGCTAAAGTCAGAGCGAGCGAGCAAGAGAGGGAGAGAGAGGGAGAGAGAGGGTGCAGAAGGAGAGAAAGAGGAAGATGGATTGAGCTGTGAACTGGGGCGGCCCAGGATCAGGCATGCTGGATGGCTGTCTGCCGTCCTGAGGGAAAGGCCTAGCTTGTTATTTTAAGGAGGGTGACTCTTTTTGCTCCCCTCGCATAGAAAAAATAGGGACAGACGCACTAACACACACACACACACAACACACACACACACACACACCTACACGAGTTCCCTGTGTGCAAATGAAGCTGACAGCATATGGCGCGCAAACTAACACAAGACTATCTGTCTCAGGTAATGGGTGAGCTCAACACCACCGCGTCTGTGTTCAACCCGAAGTCGACAGCGCCTGAATGAAGAGCCCATGATGACCTCACACTGTGCGTAAGTGCAAATGTTGTTTGTTAAAAAAAGATGAGGCAAAAGTACATACTTTATAAAGATCTGTGTGTAAAGGAACAAATGAAACCTCAGTACAGGAGAGGAAAAAGAAACAAGATTATGAATCTACTGAATCAGAAATCTGTATTTGGTGGACTATCCCTGATTTTTATGTTTAGCTCTTATGCACTTTGGTATGCCCTCTGTCAGCCTTTAACACTGATGTTATGTCAGACATTGACGCAAAAAGTTCAAGCAGCTCAGCTTTGTTAAATGGCTCGTCATGAACACCAAACCAGTTCCTCCTAAGTAGAATGAGGTGTAACTAAATTGAAATTCAACAGATACTGGAACACAATGTCTTCCCTGCATACAGACATGCTGATTGAAGGAGTGGGCTCTTTATTTTTTCCCGTAGCTGTAGATCAGAAATGTTTCTCTGCTCCAAATCTGGTTCTGTGTTTTTGGCAATGTTGGCGGGTTTTACTTTGATCTGTTCTGCATTCATGAGGCACCTCGTCTGTGTGGTTGGGGTTTTTTCCTCTGTTGTCTGTTTAGTCTTAAATCTTCTCGGTAAGTCTAGATGCATCTTTTCTCCAGTTTCTGCTGTGTTTCATCCTTCATGCATGACACACACTGGGGGGAAAAAGCCGAGGAATTGTCTTCTCTATGTGTTGAAAATGTGTTTTGTGGTAGGACAGCCGGCAATGATGCAACATGAAAATAATCCCTTCAAAAAATATCAAAGCTACCTTGGAGACTGGCTAGGAAATATAATGAGCAGAAAGTGGAGAAATTGGTAAAAAAAAAAAAATGTAGGGCATCAAAGTAAAAAGTTTTCATGAAAAATAAGTACTCAGGTAAAACACAGCTACCTAAAACTCTAAAATGCTGTAAAAAAAATATAAAATTTTGTTACTTTACACCTTTGCGGAACATAATTTGTGCTAATATTCAAAAATATGTAGCGTCTTCAGACTCTGGTTTACTAACAAAAAGCAGAAGCTTCCCAGTGTGTGCTATTTCACAAACATGGAGGCAGCCTCCGTGCATATGTGGGGGCGTCTGGGATTGATGACGTGTGTTTGTGTTTGTGTGTGTGTGTGTGTGTGTGTGTGTGTGTGTGTGTGTGTGTGTGTGTGTGTGTGTGAGAGACAGAGAGAGAGAGAGAGAGAGAGAGAGAGAGTAGAGGCTGTGCAGCTTTGTGGCTTAGTGACTGTGACATTTGACATACTACAGTGCCTGCAGTGTCGGCTCTGCAGGACTGGGGCTCCTCTCAGCTAACATGGCAGCACGCCTCGGCTTGCGCTCGTCTCCTCGCATCTCGTCACATCATAAGTCGTGTCATCACGCCGCATTTTCTCCCCATTATTCTCCTTTCATCGTCCTTCCCATTGTTTTGTCATTTTCACCCCCCCCTTCTCTCCAGTCAGGTACTTCTTGGTGTTTCTGTCCTTTTCACTTTCTCTCAAGTGCCTCGATTGTTGTCATCTTCGTCTTCTGCCTCCTCATCGCCCTTCATCTCTCTTTCCTTTTCTTTGTTCATCCCATTACCTCATTTCCTCTCGGACTTTTGTGTCCCGTCTCGCTCTCTTTCTTTCTCATTCTACTCTCATTTCCTTCCTTCTTTCTCAGCACCATTATCTCTATCTTTTCATTTTGTGTGTTTTCATCTTCAATCCCTTCCTCTTTCCCGTCTGTCTTTCTCTCGCTCGCCTGTTTTCCTAAGCTGCTTCTCAGCTCGCACTAGGCCAATTAGCTTGCATCAGTCCGCTCCTGTTGGCTCAATAATACCGAGCAGGTAAGCTGGAGTTCTTCAGGTGTGTGTGTGTGTGTGTGTGTGTGTGTGTGTGTGTGTGTGTAGAGGTTTGTTTACAAAGATATCCGTGGAAGGCTCAGTTTACGAATCCTTGTGTGTGTGTGTGTGTGTGTGTGGATGAGACTGAATGCACACACACACACACACACACACACACACACACACACACACACACACACACACACACACACACACACACACACACACACAGAACCACAACCAGATGTACACACAAACACATCTGCTCAGCGAGAGGGCCCGCCGTGCACGGCCAACAGATAAACAAGTGTGCTCGCATCTCCCGGGAAGTAACCATGGCAACCGTCTCTCCCCTCTCTCTCGCTTCCTTTCTCTCCTTCTCTCTTGTCTTTCTTTCTCTCTCTCTCTCTGACTGAGCTGGTTGGCTGCCGGCCGTCCTGGAGGCAAGACAATAGCAGGTTTCAAGGCCAATGTCACATCTTCCTCCCTTCCTGCTTTCCTGCTTTGCCAATCATGGAAAAACAACGGGAAAGAAAACAGCTTCCTGTATTGATAAATGTGATGTCACAGGTGGGGTGACAGCCATGCAGAGCAGCCCTGGGGTGGTGGTGGTGGTGGTGGTGGTGGTGTGTGGGGGGGGTGGATTCAGTGAGATTTCCGCCTCCCCCTCCATCTTTCTCTCTTACCTCCCCCCTTCCTCCCTCTCTTCCTCTTTTCATAAAACGCGGACAATTGTCGTCTTCCCTTTGTAGGGCGCGAGAGGAAAAGGGGATTTCATGCAGGCTAACTAAGCCCCTAATCCTCTGTTTCATGCCGTTCTCTCAGTCTCCCCATGTTTATGTACATCATTCTGCCTCTGTATTTTCTGCTGTGCTGAAGTATTGTCTTTTTCGGTGCCGTGCAATAAGTTATTCAAATCAAAGTATCAAAACGTCAGAGTATAAAAACTGCATAGGACGTCGAACTGATCAATTCAGAACATTAAGTATGCATTAACTGAAAATGTTAAATCTTAAGTATACCTAATTATGCACACAGAATAAACCCTGCTAGTAATTTATTACTTATTATTGTTCACTCATTTAGTTTTAAGTAACACTATGGAAAACAGCCCCTCAGACACCGATGGATGACGTCACTCAGGTTTTGTCCATGGTCCACTTTGCAAACCATAGTCAGATATTCGTTCTCTTTTTCCTCTGCTTTTGGTCTCCACCA